GATTTGAACCGGTCCCTGGTTCTTGTGGGCAAATGGGCGTTTCCCCTCCATTTCACCACCACCAAACCACGAATTCGGCTCCAAAGGGAAGCTGATTGTTGAAAGGAGAGCCAAACCGAAGCCAGGCATTGCGAGGGTTTCTAGTCTAGGGAACTGGGAATGGGTCAAGGAAAGGCTTGGGCCCATTTTGTTTACACCCGGCTCCCGTGAAGGGAAGCCAAACGAAGGTGGTTGAATTATTATGGCCATTGAGACCCAGTTGCTTGGATGTGGTTTTTCCATTTCGCTTTTCCACAAGAATCGCTAAATATGGGCCAGGCAGCCGGCGTCAAGAGTGATATGGTTGGTGGTGAGGGAAAGCTGAGGTGGATTGAATGCATTTCATCCGTCCACCAGCATGGAAGTGCACATACCCCTTTTGGCAGATGGCTCGTGAAATGGGTTCATGTCTGTGTACCTTGGTTGGTAAGTGAAGGTTCCTTTGTGGGAAAGGACCACGGCCCTCACGATTTCCAATGGGGATTGATCATGGGTCTGGAAGCCTGGGGAACAAGGCACCATTCCTGAGCCCCCGATTTTCAGAGCCTGTGGAGTCATTTGAGTGGCGAAAGATGGCCAAAGACTCGCATGGCTTTGAGACCTAGGCATGCTTGTTGTTGGGGAAACATTTTTCATGTTGCTTATGGTGGTTTAGTGGTTGAAATCCCTTCTTAACTGCTAAAAAATGATTTTTTGTTCCCCTTCCAACGTCAACCGCGTAGGGTGTTTTCTTTGGGAGCAATCCAAGGCTTTTCCGCAGCTTCGAGAAATCAACCGCGTGGATGAAGCGTCTTGGCACTTGCAGCCCGGGCTGCTGAGGGGGCTACCTTTTTTGGGGGCAATTCACCTTCACCTGCACCCTGGTCTCCTTGAACGGAAAACCCCAAAGAGGCTGTTTAAGCAAGGGGTGTTTAAACAAAGGTCGCGCTCTCGCTGCACTCCCTGCTACCCCGTCACAAACAAATCTGGAAGTGCCCGGGCTGCCTTTTGGAAAGGAGAGGAGCGTTCAACAAGGCTATGAACTTCCGCGTTTGGAAGGGTGAGACAGAACCCGAGACTAAGGTCCTCAAAGGGGGACATGGTCCTTCAAGGACCAGACTGTCACATTCCACTGGAAGGATGCGTTATTTACAGGGTGCTCCACGAATCCAAGCGCATGAACTTCTGTCACCTTGGGACTTCGATGGCGGCCATGGCAAGAGGCACCCCCTGCCATGTGGGGACCACCCTGGGTCGAAGTTCATAGTACCATCCACCACAAAAAGAGCCAATCATAATGCGACACATATGTATATATAATAAGAAACCTGGGGGTTTTCGTTTGGTTTCCCTTTAAAACAGTCCAAAGAGGGCTACCCTCAAAAAAGACTCGCCATTAGTTCTCGCCGTGTCGATAAGTTGACCACTCCGGTGCCATCGCTATGCTGGTTAGTAGGCTATTTGGTTTGGAGTTGCCGGGGGCTGTTTTTTTGTTTAAAAAAACAAAAAAAATCATCTTTATTTTCGGGCTGGGGGTGTACAGTTTAAAACCTTCGTATGCATAGGCCACGGGCTGTCGCATGCACACCGAACTCTGACTTGAGGCTTTGGGCCTCCCAGGTTGCCATGGCACCGATGGGAGGAATGGTAGAACCCCCCCTTAGGTTGCGGGCAAGTCTTCAGCCCCATTTCTTTTTGAAAAAACAGAGCCTGTCGGAACCCGCACAGCAATCCAATCCCGGGAACAGCCATTGAGGACTTGAACAGCAGGTAGGAGCTAAGTGTTGGCGCCAGGATGGCATTGTACTTTGAAACGCATTCATGTTGAACGTGGGGGGTCTTCAATGAACCCGAGCTTCCTCCTTGCTTTTTTTTGATTGATTTGCAGGAGAGTAATTCGCTTAGTTCCCTGTCTAGGATGGCTCTTCTTTCCATGTTGCGTGTTTTTTGGTCACCCTTGGCGGTAGGGATTGGCGGTGAGAGTGGAACCCCCAGAGGCGAGTCGAACCAAATGGGAGCCCCCCAACCGGAGGTGGTCTGCCGAAAACTAGATGTACTTGCAGATGTAGACCATCAAAAATAAAACTGCATTGGTAACCATTCCAACAGGTGATGTTTCAATCCTCCGTGTCAGGGAAAACCTAATGAGACGGTGTTTCTTCCATGCTTGGTATGTAACGGGGGCTCCCAGATCTCGTTGCTCGTCCCTCATTCGCCCCGATGCACTGATCTAGGGGTTGATTTCCTATTTTGTTCCAAGCACCTTTTTCTCAAAACCCAGCTGTTTCCATGTTGTTTTTGGCGGTTTCGGGGCATGGTTCACTTTCCCCCTGTCGTGCTCCGGCAGATGCAGATTTTCCCTTTGCCGAAGCACACCTCCGATTTTCGGGTTCCAAATCCGCAAAGTTACCCAAGGGCCACCTGCATGACTTCGGGTTCCGGCTCCTGTGGGCCTTCATGCGCTTCACCTTCTTCCATGCAACTCGGCGGCTCAAAGGACGTTATGTGAGACGGGACGCGCGGCTTGTTTTTGGAGGGCCTCTGCTTGGTTTGCTGCGGCCACAAAACCCTACATGGTTTTTAGGGGAGGCTACGGTATCTTGTATGCTAGTTGTTCTTTGTGCCGTTTTCTCTCGGAACTTGATGTAGTGTCAACCTTGGGCCCTTGCAAGATTGGAACACGTGTTTGCTTCAGGCTCCTTTCCAAGGTGGAACACGTGTTTGCTTCAGGCTCCTTTCCAAGGTAAGCCACTGCACAAAGCATGTTGCTAGAGCTTTTTGCGTAGTTATTAGGGGTATAATATATATATATATATATATGTGTGTGTGTGTGAATAGTATGTGAATCACTGCAAACCTATACGCAAGAAGTCAAGAAGGGCAGCAGCCTGAACAATCATTCAACAAATCGTTTTTGTCAAATTAGGGAAAGCCGTGAAACGTTTAGTTTCCTTGGTTTCCCTTTAAAGCACTCCCAAATGAGGGGGTGCCATGAAAAACAACCCCATTGATGAGTTTTTTTACTTGGCCGCAAGGGGAGTTGACCCATTTCCCTCGTGACCTGGCTTGATGTTTGGCCACGTGTTTGACGTTGCGTGTCTCCTGCAATCTTATTTTACCTTCTAGGATCGACTATAGTAGACTAAACATGATAGGAAGCAAGATCTGCACATATGAGTTTCTGTGTATTTTCCATTTGCTGAAACAGACATGTGTTATATTCCCCGGTTGGTTTTAAAGGGAATCAATTCACTACTGAACATGTGTTTTTTCAGGGGGCTGAAGCAAAATGGAGGGTCCCCCCGGGCTAAGGTGCCCACCATTTGGTGGAAGTCCATCGTCGCGGTGTTCCTGGCCCAGCCACTCTGCCATCAGAGAGTTTTAGCCTTAGGTAGACCCAAAGGCTTGCCTTTTTATAACTTGTGGCCCTGGGTTTCCATCATGTTGCCTTAGCAAGAAGTGTCACTTGCAGAGGGAGTAAGTCTGGTCAAGTGAGTTCAGTATCTGCGCACAAAGGGGTGCCCCTCTTTGCGCGGTAGGGGAAGCTGCCAGGACCTGGAAGTGATAACCCTTCACGAGGCCTAGCGGATCCTTTTGGCCATGAATGCGGGGCGTGATGCTTTTGCAGCTTGGGGTTTCGTCCGTCGCGGAAAGCATGAACACCTGTGAGCAGAGTGAAACCCCTGCAAATCGATGAGAGTTAAACAAAAACGATAACGCCGTTGGAGGATAGCTAACCTAACACGGTTTTCGTCACAACCCCAGGTGGACTCCACGAAAAGAGACACCCCGCTGCCAGCTTTGAGCGCAACGTTTGCCGAGGCTTGGGAACGCCTACTACCTAATGACCATCTACTTGAAGGTACCGTTGCGTGCCTGGGAGAGGCGTCCTGAGGTCAGTTTGAACGGCGATGGCTGTGACTTCAATTTGGTTCCAATCATTTACCAGTGCCATCTACCACAAAAATGGCGGGTATGGGTCAAAATTTTACCACCAGCATATGGACCGCAGGTTTTAGTCCTTGTTTCCGTTTACCAGGGTTCCATTTTGTGTTTTGTTCACGTGTTGTTTCATCATGTGGCAAAACGGCCGAATGGCCGTTTGGCTCAAGATTTGGATCCCCCGTCGGGACTTCCTTGGATTTGCGTGCGTTCGCCATAGTGCGGCGATTGGCTGCGCCATCGCGGAAAAGGTCCGTGGTGTTCCAGCTGTTCGGCACTAGGAGGTGGGCGGCAGGTCGCCGAGGTGCTCCCGGGCCCGACCCTTGTCTTTACCTTCTTCTACCAGTTTCCTAACCTCCCCAAACTTGATCTTCATTAACTGTCACTCCCACAATCTGGTCACCGGCACCCTCTACATTGTGCTTTGGGACTGGGTTCTTTTGGTACTTCGTGAACCACGTGTACCTCTTTGATTCCCTGGGCTACTTCGTGTTCGCCCAAAACCGCAGGTTATCAGCCGTACCAGCTAGAAGCTGGGGCTGGTGATCCGGTTGCGGGACGTGACCCGCTACCTGCTCCCATCGCCTACTTGTACGAGCAATGGCGTCCCCCGGAGCTTCTCATCGTGGGCCGGGCTTCGTGGACGACGAGGCCAACGCCCTTCGCGGCAACGCCGCGCCTGCTGCTTCCGGCTTAGACAGCCGGCTGTGGCCCATTCCCCCGATGGTGGGCGCAGAGCCCAATCCCGGGGTGATCACGGACGATTGGATCCTTTCTCAGGTTGTGTTTGATGAGGATGCGGAGGCCCCTATCCCGGCGGCAGTGCTCCAGATCGAGGACGGACCCCCTCTAGAAGAGGCTGAGGTTCCTCCAAATCAGGTGCCCTCATCGATTTCGCCTACTGTTCCGTTCGTGGCGCTCCAGATCGAGGACCGGGCTGTCCATCATGCTGCTCATCCGGAGCCGGCTCAATCATGGTCCCTTACATGGGATCAGTTTGACCAGCTCCTCGGCAGTGGATCGCAGGCTACACCGCCTGATTTCGGTCGGCTCGACTTCAACTCGGGTGCCCCCATATCGGTTGGGAATCTGGATTTTCAATCCCTTTTTGATGCTGATTGGAGGTCGCAGCCTTCCCGAATTGACAGATCTTTTGATGCCCTGCCTACACATGAGCCTACTCAGGGTTTTCCTCATGATGGAGAAAATGACCCCATTGAAGATTTCTCCCCCTCTCATGTTGCAGGTTCGGCCCAACCCGAGGTGGGCAAACGGGCGATTGAGGATTGGCCGCAAATAGCTGGCCTTCCTCCCGTCTCAGGTTCATCCGACATTGACATCATTCACGATCACCCCAGTCCGGCGGATATGGACTTTATCCCTGACGCAGTATCATCTCACCTGTCAGGTACCCGCGACCGGAATGCGGACCGCTACAACGCTGGTCCGAATCCACCGCTTTCCTCAGGTACCCGAGGTCGGGATGCGAACCGCTACAACGCGGGCTCAAATCCGCCAAATCGGGCATCAGGTACTAATCGATCGGACGCGGGCCGCGAAACAGCAGGCCCAAATCCTTCCTCTACTTCATCAAGAAGCCATGCCGGTCTATTCGCGACGTTCAATCGGCGTCAGACTCGAAAAGAGTCCGCCCCCGACGTCATCGACCTCGAAGAGCAGTCCAGCCACCGTACCAGTGATGGATCCGAGCAGGATACACCTGGTATTGGCTCTACTCCCTTCGACCTCCTCGACATCCCCTTCCATCAGCCACCCAGGAGAGGAAATGAAGATGATGAAACCATCCCTGGGATCCTTGATGTAATCGATGAGGCCGAGGTCACACCAGAGAGACGAACGACATCGCTCCCGCCGAGCCGCGTTGCCAAAGTACTTTCCCCTAAGCCACTCATTGGTGACGTTGCTCAACGGCTTGATCTCACTCAACCTGATCCAGATCAAGCTCAACTTCGCGGGTCGTCATCTTTTGATAACATGTCGGGACAAACCGGCACTGACTCACGAGCCACAAAGAGGAGCTCTGAGTCACCCGAGAGACGTGAAGCTGCTTTGCGATTGCGATCTAATCCCCCAGCTCATCACGATCCTATTGACGTTCCTATCCACTCTGCGGGGTCTGGGCTCAGCTCCAATGCCCCGATGTCTGAGAAGGAGACTGATGACGGGATTAACTCTACGCCCAGGAATCGGAGACCTGGACTTAGCACTGTTGCTCCTGGTCATGGAGGGCTTCCTTCAAATCAACCGGTCAACAACTCCCTCGTCCCCGCATTCTTTCAAATTGGAACTCCGGGCTGCACTCCCGACAGGGAAGAAAATAGGCGCGGAGATCATGACGCTGATAGTCGTCCTGCTCCGTCTGCTTCCACAAGCGGCGGGGAAGGTTGCTGATTCGTACGGACTTTTGCCAGGAAACTCGCTTGAAGTCAGTGACGGGGAATCCGCATATACACAGGCGTTGCTCGGCGGAACCAAGACATGGATACGCCTTCCCCGTGACCAATGGCCAAAGGATTGGGAGGGCATGCAAGACCCCGTATGCCCCCTTGTTCTTGCTCTCTATGGACACCCCGACGCTGGAGGCTTTTGGGAACAGCACTGCGAGACCCAACTTAAAAAGGTTGGATTTGTGCCCATTCCCGACTGGCCCAGTGTTTTTCGTCACCCCGCACTTGAGACCTTTCTCGTTGTCTATGTTGACGATTTCAAGCAAAGTGGCCCATCGGCTAACCTCGCCGAAGGGTGGAGACTCATAGGTTCCGTTATCAATATGGAGGAGCCTCGTCCTCTCAAGAGGTATCTCGGCTGCGAGCACGAGTTCAGATCTGCCACCGTTGATGGGCCCTTCGATCCGAGAACTGCCTGGACGGTCGGACATCCTCCCTCGAAGCCTATACCGGAGATGCGTTTCGGGCCAGACCGAAGGCCTGCTGCCGACGCATGTCGCGGCAAAGCCAAGATCAACCTCATCAAGTACAACGAATCTTGCTTCATGCAAGCATGTGTTGAGCGTTACCTCGAACTGTGCCAGTCAAAATTTCCAAAGGCCCTTCAGACTGTCGAGACCCCGTTCCTCGACGAGAGCAAGCCTGAGTTTGACGAGAACCCGGTAAACCCGGAGTTTGACAGGCTTGTTGATCAAAAAGAAGACATCGAGGTCATCTCTGCCAAGCCCGGCGTCCTAGGCGACGCAGCTGCACAAGTCCTAATGAAAATCTTATATGGTGCTCGTATGGGCCGTTATGATTTAATCCGACCTGTGCAAGCGCTTGCCAGCAGAATCACAAAGTGGAACCAATTGTGCGACAAGAAGCTTCACAGGCTCGTGTCGTACATTAACTCCACCATTGAGTTGCACCTCTATGGATGGGTTGGCGATCGATCTGATATGATCGAAGTCGTCACCTACTGCGATGCTGACCTCGCCGGCGATCGCACCGACGCAAAAAGCACATCCGGGGTCCTTGTGTGCCTCGTTGGCCCCCGCACCTACATGCCCATCACCGCCGTGAGCAAGAAGCAAACTTCCGTATCGAAGTCTACTCCCGAGGCCGAAATTGTCGCCCTTGATCACGGCATTTCCAAAGAGGCCATGATGCTCGCCGCTCTCTGGCACTTTGCCATCGGTCGCGGCTCCTCGGACTCAATCGTGTGTAAGTGCAAAATCAAATATGACGCTTCGATCCCACAACCCATCAGCGTCCTTGAGGACAATGAAGCCGCGTGCAGAATTATCGTCACGGGCAATAACCCGAACATGCGATACATGTCGCGTACCCAACGGGTTGATATCGCATGGCTCAATGAGCGATACAACGACAAGATATTCCGTTTCGTTGCATGCCCTTCGGACTATCAGGGAGCCGACATCCTCACAAAGGCGTGCGTTGACAAGATCGTATGGAGCAAAAATCTCCACACCCTTGGGATGTTCAAGCAGGGGTTTCTGCAATCATATCTCTCCCATCCCACCCAACCCGTGCATATTCCCCCTGCTGCTCCTGCTCTTCCACCAATCAGGGGGGTTCGCGTTGAATCCGATCATGACTCTAAGTTCAACTCCTTCATCAATGACGCCAACATCTCGGATTGCAGGATTTCAATCACCGAGATTAGGGCGTCTGAGAATGACAACCTGACCGTTGTCATTGATTCATCTGTGTTACCACTCCTGCCCCCTCAGTGCGGGCACAGAGTCGTAAAAATCGATCTCGATGATGGAAGCACCGGAGGGATCTCTACGTATCCCGGATTAAAAGGAAAAAGAGATAATTTTGCCGTATTCAATATTTTTCCTTCATGCCCGGATTCCTGCAAAAGGGATTGGTCCAAGATCAGGAGGTTTCGACAAAAGTGCGACGCACTTACTGCCTCTTCTCTTGCCTTTGCCCTGAGTGCTATACATCACGAATTTGACATTGTTATCGGATTTGGTGGCGACCTACCCGGACTCTGCGTTCAGAAAATCCGCCAATTTATTGATGACCATGACCTATACAGATCTAATCTCTGCAGTTGCCAGGTTGGAGCTTACGGTCACGCCACCGTCATTACTGTTGCCGTGAACAAACGGACTAATGATCGATTGCGCTGTGTACCCTGCTCTATATCGCTTCGAAACGGGAGGAACAACTTCTCTTTTCACGATGTTGCCTGGGAAAGAATTTTCGATGAAATTTTCGGTTGAATGTATTCGATCTCTGTAGAACCTGTGCTCTCTTGTTGCTCGCCATGCAGTGTGAGATGCTCATAAGCGTTTACATGTCGCTTTTTGGCTCTCTCAGCTGAGCACGACTTCCTCGGAAGTCTACATCGGCAAGCAATGCACATTTCCGACCACTTCAAGACAATATGGGACTCCCCTACACACGGGGCTTTGACCTTTGTTTATTCTTGATG